GCTAAAGAGGTTGCGAAGATGGCACGAAGGCAACACGGGGCCGCTTGGGCTCCAGGACACTGACAAGGGATACGGGCGCGCAGGTTGCGCTCTCGGCCGGCTTGCTGAAGGGTGCACGAACGGGAACAGGGGACAGGACTGTGGATGCGGTGGCAGGGACTGCCGGGACGGTTGATGATGATGCGGGAACGACCACAGTAGCGGCAACAGAGATGGGGGAGCGGGGATTCATTCCGGGAACTGTAAGTATGTTTACACTACAGCCGCTCACAGTAGGCGGATGCGGCTGTTTTTCAACAGAAGAGGACTTGGCGCGAACCTAGAAAGGGCAAAAAAGAAAGGGTTAGTAGAACTGGAGATACAGATATGACTGATTATTTGTTGCTCAGGTAACCTGGGAATCTTCAGGTCAACCCCACGTCCAATATGAACGAAAAATACTGTTTACAGCCATAGCACGATGGACGTGCTTCTATCGCGCTCGTGCCTAGTTTAGTGCATCAGTGCACGATGGTCTAACTCTTTGACTCCGAGAGTAGCAAGGGCTCTTGTCGGGATCTCGTCTCCTACAATTGGGTGAGTACGGTGCGGAGTTCTTCCCTCCTACAAAAGCTGTGAACAAAACCGATCTTAATTATGGACGCCTCCAATAACAGCCCTTGAGAGTGTAAACGCTTATCACTGATTTCCTATCTACCCATCTGATCGAGTCGCAATTACTGACTACGACAGTAAGAAATTCGGACCTGTAATCCACAAAACACTAAATTTAAGCCAATGCGAACAGATGACAGGCGGGAATGGGATGCCGGGCGTGAAGAACTTGCAGCAAGCCACGCATTATGTGCTATATGCAAGCAGGAGAAGCGGTGTATCTGTATGAATAAACAATTGTAAGGTAGCTGTTTTCCTGTGCAGCAAGCGCTGCTTGCAGAAGAAACTTCAAAAAAACATTCGAAAGGCATGAATTCCCCAGGACCGAGTAGTGTGGAAGCTCAGATAAGGAAAGATACGCACATAAAGTGCCACCACCGGCCCAATCTAGTCTCACGAACCAGACGCCAGTCAGAGGGGAGAGGTCTTGTCCAGACGATGGGTAAATAGATGCATGAGCAGCAGTTTTTAGTTATACCCTTATAAATGCCGAAGATTGCTGTTATCTTTAATGACAATTCGAAGTTCGATTGCGTCCCATGCGATTACAAGATCCACAGGGTACAGTGTTATGAGGTCTGCCGTCCCCATCCTCCTAAATTGGATAGGAGCATTCCCTGTAGCAAGTTCGGGAGGAATACGACCGAAATTCATGGAAACAACAGATGTCAGGGAAAACGTTTCGGGCAGCAGAGTTCCTGGCCGGTCGGATCTAGCTTAATCTTTAATACACCACATATCCCTGCAACGCCTGGACATCACCTTATTCGGGGTATTTTGTGTGACCTCTCCCCGTATGAAACCAGTTACCGATTACATTTTTTTGAAGAAAACGCGAGTTCGTGTGCCAACATATGCTTGCGCAGGTGTGTATATACCGGTTTATCAGGCGTCATGGAAGAGTGCACAGTTCGCTCTCGCTCGGGGCATTCCGCATCCAAATCAACTGCGGGGAGAGTTGACGGAGGAACAGGAGGCGCCGGTGCTTCAAACACCTTCAGGGCAACTGGCGCGGAGGAACGAGGTTTCACAGGAGAGGGGTTCTTGCCTGAATGTTGGGGGTTGGTGACATAGTAATAGATGCCTTGCTCGCTGGAGAGTGGGGTCTCGGAAGCGTTTGCCTAGAGCAGGAAAATTAGGGTAATTTTCGAAGAAGACACCATGGGCATACACACACACATGAACATACATACTTTGTGTTTTAAGAACAGTGAGATGTTACAGTTGGCACGCAAGTCAAAATGACTGCAAAATCGGTGAAAACGGGGGAGAGAGGAAAAGAGAAGTACTGTGATAAAGAAGAATGGAAACTGCGGTAGCGGGGCGCCTATTTCGCGTGCGGCTGGAAATTACGAACTATGCGCATCTGGGGTACTCGATTGCCAAAAAATCGTCCAGACAGTCTTCAGGCAGTTAACACTGGGAAAATTCGAGAAAGTTGTCCTATAGCTGTTTTGTTCGAACCCTCATATATGGCACTTTGATGGCTTTGCCACACATTAGAAGTATTGGGTGATTTCAGACATGCAAAACGACCTATGTGATAGTCATCGACCGAACAGTGGCAGGAAGGACACAGTCCGGTTCGACAGCAAACCCTGCCATGATCCACATACAAGAGCAGTCAGTGGTTACTGAACAAGGAAGCTCATTGGCGATGGTCAGGGAGCGCGATTTCATTGAACACCCAGTGTGATGAATTGTCAAGGGAAAGAGGAAAGGGGTTCTCACAACTTGATCAGCTTCGGCTACCATTGATGTCAACCAGTTGTCTGACTTATAGTGAAAGGAAGAGCATACACATGGAAATAAGAGACAATTAGGGACCGGACTTGCAAATTTTAAGTTGACACAAACCCAACATTAGATTGGACTGATTAAATAAACGGCCCGACATGTTGAGAAAGTAGGTAGAAGACAGCACGTACCGATCTTTACATGGCAGAGATATTAATAAGACAATCATTGTTACCAAACGTCCATTTTGGTTTTATTTTTCGCTTTGCTAAGAACCCTAATCCTTGGACTTCCACATACTTCTGCTGTTCTGTGTCTTGTTCATAATGCTACCGAGGTACGATGTGTTCCATCTCAATTTACCATCGTAGGTGGTTCAAAGATGATACACAACCATTTGTTACTGTCTCAAAGACCAGTTAGGTGGCATTTCTCGAAGAGACAATCAGGTAGGCGCGCCGAGCTCGAGTTTGTTCGTTGACCTTTATAGTCAAGTGCGCAAAACCAACACTCGGGGTGAGTAAGAAAAAGGGCTACAACAACAGTCCGATGAGCAGCTCCAGCATGAGTGCTAACCTTGAAATGGAAGGATTCCCTACGGTTCGTGGTACTCTGGGGGAAGATAACGGTCTCCAGATGAAGCAGTGACACAGTGCTGTTTAAAGTGTCCACATTACGTGCAGAAGAGATCGATCGCCACTCTTTCCGTCAAATGCCCATGGGTTTATGACACCTCCGGGCAACACAATCTGACGAGGTGTCAGTGAATGAGGGGATAGAAAAGCATTCTGGCGAGGAACCGCCTGGCTCCGGGATGCCATAAGTGGACTACTGAACCTGTCATTCAGAAGAAGTAACGAAACTCCTCGCTGGTCTTGTTCAAAAGTATGATTTGACCATGATACAAATGATTATTATGGCCCAAGACTTTTTCAAATTTTCTTACTGCAGGAAACTGCATTTTCACATGAAGAAGACGCCTCTCTACTTAGCCGCTTTAAAGTGCCAGAGAACAAACGTACAAGACCCCCCAAGTAGCACTAACTGATTCAAATTCGACAGGACTATTCGTTTAAGTGCAGGTGGACGTCCACCCTTCCATCGGGCAAGAACTGCTTTCTTGTATTCGGGAATTAAAATGCTGAACAACAGGTCTGTGATTAATTTTACGTAAGGTAACTCGAAACCCGACCAGTTGTAAAAAAATGAACATTGAAAAAGACCCCACGACAGGCGGCCACCTCGTTGCATCATACTGTCTACACAAAATGATCTAGAACTGTTTGATTCGAATGGTAGCAGCCAACCACTGAAGTTAGTTGAGGAACTGAATGGCACGGCATAGACCATTGGAAAGGATATGTTCTGCACTAGCAGGGCCACTCCGGGGAAGATTCAAGACATCAGAATTGCCGTTAGGCTGTCCCATTCGAACTGACTCGAGCACGAAATGGAACACGCAGAGAAAGATTTTCGGAACATCAGCATCACGGCTTCTTCTCATTCTTGCCATGTCCCAACGGCAAGACTGAATCAAGGCGACTGGAGAAAAATCTGTGCAATGGCTGATACAGTAAACTTGATCTGTCCTGGACGCGGCAGACACACGCTGGCTCTTCACAGTGACTGCGAGAGATTTTCCTTAGATAGGCCGTTCAAAATAATCTTTTAAGTTTCGCAGCTATTCTACCGCTACAGGACACAGCTGAGAGGGGTTTGGCTCAGCGGGCGGTCCCCAGCGTTTACCCCCCCCCCCCCTCCTCCGTGCGCTTTCCGGCAGACACTCTAGTTCTGAAATTTCAGTCTTTTAGACTTCTCGGAAATTAATGCACTAGCGTGGAGTCAAACAGTCGGAATCAAGCCTTATAGGCTCTGTTTGAAAGTTGGTATGAATTGCTGAACCGGAATCCATTGGCTTCCGTGGGATAACCACCCAATATTCATCAACAGGCGACAGGCAGTCATCCGTATACATATGTTGCATAATTTTACCATACGGACTCTCCTTAAGTGCTCGCGTACACCGTCCGGGGGTCTTTTTGGAAAGTCCCTTAACCTCGGCGAAGGGATTTCGCATTTGGATAAACCAACGAAGTGTGCATGGGTTGTCATGCAATCGAATAAACCTCAAGGACAGGCAAGGTCAATAAACATTTCCAAGAAAGGTCGTCTGATGTCATCTGAGACGGTGGAAGCTACATGTGGAGGTATGCAAAAGACACGACCCGCAGCATGGATGCTGTCACGGACGACTTCAGGGTTAACGGTCTACGCCACGCGCTGGATGAATGGAGATTTCACCGGAAGAGGTTACTGGTGGACTCCAATATTTCCGTCGGTGGTCATCCACTCCGCATGCGACCTTGCAATAATTTGTAGCCCGAAGGATGTGAGTGGAAGTATACCTTAGCTCGCGTTAAAAAGAAATGGCAGAAGACGAGGAAGAGGACGTCGCCAATGGAGGAAAGGGATTTCTACCAACAATTAGCAATCAATAGCCTCAAATGCCGACTGTTTAATAAAGTAAATGCAGCTAGTAAGGCCGGCGGACATTGTAACAAGTATTAAATGCCTGTGATACCCTGTTTTGTGTCTACGGAAGTACCTGTAATATACCCTGTATTCAGATATTTGGCGTTCGCGGCAAACTGAAAATATTTGCTACATATGTTACTTTTTGAGGAAGGTGTTTTACTTGCGAACGTTCTAGGACCAAGGTAACGGACTGTAAAGAGCTTGCAAGTTGTGCGGTCGTTTTTCGTGAACTCGAGCCGCTTCTTCGTTTTGTCGGCTGATGCAAAAAAAGGGCTCTACTCCTCAACTGCGGCATATAAAAGTAAGCTATTGCTCAAAAAGGGGGACAAACTGTCGTTTTACAGACATACGCTAGAGTACATGATTCGCGAAAATGTTGAAATTAAGGCCATTTGTCAATCTGCGTGAAATGCGTGCTAACAGTTTACGATCTATAAAAGTGTTTCCAGGTTAAATGCGCCCTTCCCTGGCAGAATAAGAGCAAATTTATTAAAATGACTCCCCAGGGGGGCGAGCGCCAAGGAGATGCAAAAACAAAGGGGATTCCGAATAAGTGTGTGTAATACATGAACAGACTGCTGGGAACTGATAGCCATAATTCAGATAATTAGTTTTGGATATGCTGGCGTACATCAAAGGCCATACACTTTACTTTTCACCGTGAATATGTCTCGTCGATCGAAAGGTCTACAATTTCGGCCGGAAATCAACACCGCCTTGTGTTCAGTCGATTTACTGTACTCATACCTGTGGTAGACCATATCTGTGCAATTGTTTTTGGCTGGCTAGTGGGAAGAATTAATCTAAGCGACCGATGTGTACAAAAACAACCATCGTTAACCTCAAACCTTATTTTTCAGTGCGCGTGACTCAGGTGGGGCCAGATGAGAATAAACACGCTATTCTCAGGAAAACACGAAGCTTTTATAAAAATACTCATCTGCAGATCTGTGCAACTGCATGCCCTAGAAATCAGTGATAACGCCCAGAGTTGACTTTTTGCTTTAACACATCCATGATTCGCGGGCGTGTACAAACATTCCATAAGTGACAACGAAAAGGCTCACCATCAAACGGGCTTTTTAATTTTTAAGTATACAGTAAGATATTTTAGTGCGCATTTCATAACCCTAATATTTAACTACAAAACGAATTGAGAACAGTGTCGGCGTTTAAGCTATATTTTACCATTTACCGTATGTGACCGTACATTTCGTAGGTTTTGCTAGTACTTATTAAAAATATTTGTATTGAAATCTACGTCTTTTTCCTTTAGAATACAGTGGTAACGATGCAACAACAATTTCTTGGGAAGTTTTCGAATATTTTGCCATGAAAAAGTTGTAAGGCAGTTATTAAGCTTAATCTAACTGACTTCTCGCCCACGGACATCGCTGCCAAGTTGGAAATGGCCAGGTCGACAGTTTACACCATCATCGACCGTTATAAGAAGTTCGGCCGCATCGACAGGAGGCCCGGAAATGAAAGAACAAAAAAATTCGAATCTCTCGTCTTATAGGGACTGTCCGGAATCGTATTCGTAGCAATCCTGTCCGCAACATGAGGAAGATTGCTTTGGAGCTTGGGGTGTCGGAGCACATGGTCAGGAATGTCATGAAAAAGGACCTGATGGCTAACTCAAGGGCTAGGACCAAGAAGCATCTCGTTATTGAGGCTGTGAAAGAGAAGAGACTAGAAAGAAGAGAATCTCCAACTTCCTCAAGAGAGAACAATACACGGTGCTCTACTCCGACGAAAAACTTTTCACAGTCGATTCGGTGTCCAACAGACGAACAGCTAGCTACATAAGTCCCCCGAAGGTCAACGAGGTACCTGAGAATGCTAAGTACAAGTTTCAGACCCAGTATCCAGCGTCTATGATGGTCTTTCGCCTGATTCCCCAGACGGCAAAGTCATGCCCCCTGTGTTCATCAAAGTCGGGGCCAAAGTGAACACAGACGTGTACCTGGATGTTCTTCAGAAGCATGCCAAGCCTTCGATAGATTCCAACTACACTCTAGACAACAATGTGGCCTTCCAGCAAGATGGTGCGCCTACACGTATGTCACGGAAGACGTAGAAGTGGCTAGAGGACCACATGCCTTATTTCTAACCCAGGGGTGTGTGGCCACCATCGTCACCAGACTTAAATCCCCTCAACAACAGCGTTTGGGCGTATGTCGAAGAGGTCTCCAACGAGCCTCACAACACGGCATGGAAATCTATCTGTGACGTTTTTCATTTGATCAAGAGCCCACTCACCACGTGCCTTCGTTGTGAATGTCAATTTTAATCGAGGATTAAGTTTCATGTTCAGGTTAGTCTATAAGTATCACCCAAACCACCGCCTCCATGGGGAATAACACATCCGAGGACTCACAACTTAGGTAAAAAGCTTCCAAGGACTGTCTTATTTATAAAGTTATGATAAAAAACTTATAGAGCCCAGCATTTTGAACACTAGATTAAAAACGCTGGAAACCTCAGAGTTCACTGATAATCCCAGAACGCCTTGGAAGCCAGGGTGGTTTAGTTTCCAGAAAGCATGCATTAAATTTACAGAAAAAAATTTCTTACCGCATAGAAGACGGTATGCTTATGATTGCACTTGCTAGTGTTAATGTCTAAGTCACTGGCCGGCCTATCGACGTGTGGTCTGACGAAAACGTCTATTCCTGTGGCATCTCTATCCGGGTGAGTAACTGTCAAACTACATTAATCCTTTGATGATATTTACTCTGAAGACTATTTCAAGTGGTTTTTAAGGGTTTCTGCGCCTATGTTTTTCTAGCTATTCAATTTTATACATATGCAGACTTAATGTTCTTACAAAAGTAACGCTTGCTCATTTGATACAAATATTCGAGCTTTCGGTATTCCCCTTACGGAGACCAACGTAATATTACCCCCAACACTTCTCTTGTGTCTTCATTTAACTGATGGTCGTTCATCAATGACTGGGTGTTTTGTTAAGTGTAGTTGAGCCGATTTCCGACTGATCAGAGGACTCTCGCAAACTTATGCATAGCGCGTGAGGCACATGGCCTACTAATGCTTTGACAAAAAGCGTCGAGTTTTTCCCATAACCACCTTTCAAAAACGTACATCAAAAAGCTACCAACCAAAACCGGCTCCACGTGACCATTTGGAGACAATGCAAAACCCATAACACTGAAGTTGTGTTGAACAAGCTCGTTAAGGGTCGTCGGCATAAGCTCCTGTCGAAAGGCTGTGTTCTAAAGCTGTATTTGCCAAAACGAATACGCAAGGTTCCGTATAGGAAAGAATACTTTGGTGCGGTTACTGTACCGTAGTTGACGTTAATGTACTAGCATCTTGACTCCAATAGCCTGATACGCTGCCGATGTCAGATTGGCTCCTGGCACGCATTTATCGGGCTGGCCCGATTAAATGCAATGTCTAAAACTTATTTTGATAATATGCCTACTGTCTGAATTTAAGTAGCTGGTTTACATTCGTTACCAATTTTATCCGCGACTCTTTTTTACTTTTTTATTCGACTAAAAATAAGAGTCGCGGCTAAAATTGATTACGAATATAAACGATCTACTTAGATTCAGTCAGTAGGCATATTATCAAAATAGGTTTTAGACATTGCATTTAATCGGGCCAGCCCGATAAATGCGTGCCAGGAGCCAATCTGACATCGGCAGCGTATCAGGCTATTGGAGTTAAGAGGCTAGTACATTAACGTCAACTACGGTAGAGTAACCGCACCAAAGTATTCTTTCCTATACGGAACCTTGCGTACTCGTTTTGGCAAATACAACTTTAGTCTCAGGCGCGCTTCTCTTTTTTCTATAATGTTAAGTCCAGAAGGGAAGGCTGTGCTCTTAGTGAGGAGTAATTCAACGGATAAGGTGCAAGCACTGACTTGGGTAAATAAAAAGGCGCCAGTATAAACTACAGGCAGTATCAGGCGGTATGGTGAGACAAAAATGAGTACGTATGGATATTTAAGTACAAAAGGACACAGGTAAACTGGGGAACGGGGAGGAGCTTCGACTGAGCCATTAGAAGCAAAGTTTTTGTTGTAAATTCCATTCACTTCTCCCGCACAGTCTCTTCTACACCTCTTAAAATGACAATTTTTATAGGCAAAGGGCACTGCACAACACGAACCGACAGTTTACGATAAAAGAATAGTCCAACAACGGGAATCAGGGGGGCTCTGACCACGCAATGACAACACGGACACACCGGCGGAAGATAAAATTATGCAGGTGACTTTCATTGCGGGGAAAAACGGCGCACGTATGGTCAAGCTGAGGACGAAAACAAGGATCCTGTGAGAAATAGATGGACTGCCAGTCGAACGGACAGCAGATAACATATGCAGTCCTATCCTGACAGGAGAGACAGTTCTGCGCTTCGGAGCACAGAATTAAGCATGCAAAAGGGTGAAAACGCGAAGCCACAAATCAGGAGAGCGAAGCGGAGAGGTGCTAACAGCAGACAACAAAGAAATGAGCTGCGGCAGCAACGGATACAATGCCAGTGTGCAGCCGACAAGCAGTAAGCAGCCCAACTTACCCCACCGATTGAGGGTGCAGTTCGTTGGGAAACAGAGAAGGTCTGGTGAAAAGTAGGCGTATATGTATTTGACGACGCCGACATGATGGAAGCGGGGACGCTGAGAATGCGTAATGGCTTGCCAGAAGGAGTGGTTGCACCAGCGATAGGCATCACCGTTGAGGAGGGTTGGCCAGCAACAGCAGTGGAAGCCGTATGGGTAATGCCACTACCGTGAATGGCCGACGATGCACCACCAGCAATCAGTCGGCCAGATGCACCTTCATGAGACGAGTCAGAGCAGTGAAAACGGGTAAGAATTCCGATAAATAGGATTGAACCTCGTGAGGTTTCTAGTCGATATGATGATAAAAGGATGACCATTCGAGGGTTACTATGACGTCGAGCAACTAAGTGTGAGGGCGTTCAGCAAAGTCCCTGCAAAACGTCCCAGGTAATTTTTGCTGATTTTTGATGACGCCATCCACTTATAAGCAAACGCCCGCGGCTGTGGGCTTACCAGCGTTTTTAACTTATTACCTAATATTCAGAACGAATACTGACAATGACAAAGTATGGCGGTTCTCGGTTTATTGACCGTCGTCACCCAACCATGCCCCCCATCCCAGGTTCAGATAATCCGGACTCCGGTCACCGGGGTGCTAAATCTAACTCACAGCCATTATGCCACAGACCTAGTATACTGACGGCTGTGATCGAAATCTTAAACAGCATTTGAGGACCGCTCAGCAATCACGTTACAGTGTAAAGCATGGTCGTCATTTGTGCAGTGGGGAACAATCAAGAGTCCTCGCAGGTAGTCGCACAGCGAACAGTAATAATGTCGGACGAGTAACGTCGAAGTGAAGAGAGACTGGAATGGTCACGGCGACTTAAGACGTCCTTCAGTGTGGACTTGGAAGCAAAGCTACCAGAAAGATTACGAAATTGGCCAACAGTTCCAGCCTTGCGAGTTACGTACCTAGCTGTACGTCTGCATACTGGATCGTGATTCACCTTTGCCAGAACTTGAGTAACCACGAACCATATCGTTTACCAAGTGTTTACTTATGATAATCGGGCTCTTGCAAGAGGATACGATCACCTAGACGTCTATAAAAATATGGTTCCAGATAAAGGTTAGTCGATAAACGGGGGGGGGGGAGGATGTCAGTCCAAAAGCATTGGAAAGTACCTCGGTGAACAACAATGACGTTGCCAGACGTGGCGGCACCGCCGGTCTGTTGGATAACGACAGGTTGTTTCTTATTGTCGGATGGTAGACTAGGGGATGGCAGCTGAGCGACTGAGCCAGATGCCACAGGAATTGCATTAGCGAAGCTTGCGTAACTGTAAATTTGTTGGGGTTGTTGAGGATGGAAAATATGTGTCTTCATCAGTCGAGCTGGAGAGGTAGTGACAACCGATTGTTGAGGCACAAGAGTAGAAGTTCCACTTGCGCCTGTAACCGCAATGGTGGTTGTATTGTGCTGAAGACGGCTCGTCATCGTCTCATCCGGACCGAAAGAGGTTCCCAAAACTTTGGTCATTTGGAGGGCTGTCAAAAAGAGAGCAGGTGCTTCATAACTACCGGCATCCTTTGCAGAGGCAAACAAAGCCACTTTCAGTTATTTCAAAAAGGAAATCTAAGAGAGAAGCTCCTTATTTTGTACGCCATCACGGACGTTTGAGCTGACTCGGAGAACGGTTACTGGGCAAAGGCGACAACAGTCAAGACCAAGGTACGACTACGCTGATCAGGGCGTGAAGATCTAGTGTGTCAACGAATTTGGACAGATAAAAGGGGAGCTATGTGATAGTAACTGTACGCTTCAGTGGCTGTTAAACAAACTGTGGTAGAGCGTTTTATTTAGTGCATCATGATTAAGTTTGGAAAACAACAAAAAATGACGATCGCCCAGAAGGAAGTTTGTTTCCATTCAGACCTATTCGGGCGTATCGGAGCCAAAAGACTGGAGCACAACAGTTTAAGTGACCTCTTGAGTTGTATTTTAGATTACGCTGAAGTTGAGTTCTCTCGCAGGGCCCTTTTTGCCTTAGCATAAACTCGACATCGATTAGAAGTTCCGGGACTTCCAAGGTACCTAACTGGACAGACGAAGCCAACCTAAACTAGCATCACAACGGCAGCCGAGTAAAAAAGGTTAGTCATTAGGTGACTTGAAACCACACCACTTCCTAAGGTAAACGCCAGGGGGTTACTGAATAGATAGATTTAGTCTGATCCTTACAATACTTCGGAAAAACTCAAGGAACATCGTGCGAGCTGTCTAGTCATCCGCTCTACAGTGGCCTGCAAACTTTAGATTGGGACAGAAAGTAAGAGACGTTTAATTTGATTGAACACCGTTGCTTCATGAAAGTGGTATTAATGTAATATGTCCATTTTAGTCCACCGTAGCAATCTGAAAGACCCGTTCGTCATTCGGGGTGGCAACTTTGGTGGTTTAGGCAAATGGCACCACCGCCCTCGCCTTAAACCGTTAATTGCAACCACCGTGAAAATGTCACAAACAGGCTGAACTCTCAGAAGAAAATTGGTTTGACCTGCACTACGCCCAACACCAACAATTTATGTTAACTTAAATTCGTTTAGAAAAATAATTAAGATGTAAGAATGGGACGAGGTGGCAGTCCTAAAGCCGGCTAGATTATTAGTTATGCGAGCCATTGCACGTAACAGTAAACCGAGGTGTTAGATTTACGTGTTTGTGGACTGGCTAAACTTGTCGTTGAAATGCTCCACCGGCTGACTGCAACTGACGTTGATCATTCGAGGGGCGATTGAATTGTGGCGCGCAACCAGCCGGGCCAGCCGTGGATTTGAAAGAGCACAAACTTGTGTGCAAGACATTGCATAAACTACAGCACGTTTTAAATGATAAAATAAACCGCTTTTGCAGTTAAAAGAAAATTTCTAAAAACGTGCCGTTTAAGTAAAAGCTATCCTTTAGAAAACATTAAGGCCTGGAGTATTTTCTCTTACCCTGAGAATTGTTAGAAGAAGTGGTAGTGGGTGTGACACTTGATATCACATTCGAGCTGGGGCCAAAGATAATGCTGCGTGACTGAGACACTAAGGGCGTGACTCCATTGCTCAAACCCCCGACTTCTCCAGGCTTACTATGGTCTGTAGGAAGGCCGGTAGACAAAGGCACGGGTTGTCGATTGCTGGGCGCCTCATCAGAACCAGGGAGACGGGGTTGCGATGGTAAACCGTAAATTCGTCTCTTCGCCTTTAAAATAAGGACATGGTTAAGTTAAGAGAACGCAAAAAACGACAACACTTAAATAGTAACAGCGACATATGCCAAAATACCGTAGGTGAAAAGTCGGCGTTTGAGTGCGCGTAAGACTGGCATCCATTTGAGGCTTGGAGCAGTCCACTCGGCTCTTTTTCTGCCGAGGTTTTGATGGAAGAAAGAGGAAACATGGACTTTGAGAGGGTTTCTTCAATCCTTGTCTGTTTATCTGCATCAACCAAAATGGAAGTTGCGGTAGAATTATCTGGAAGACACAGAAGACTGTTAGCACTTTCGTTACATCCTATGGGAACATTGTCATTCGCATCCTTCTCCATTTCAGACTGACTTGCAGAAGTTTTGGAGATGTCTGCTTCACAAGTCACCTCCATTGCGGCCTCCGGAACAGGACTCGTCACGTTCTCCTTAGGTTTGCAAAAGAATACATCGCTTAAAAGACGTAAAAAGCATTGCTGGCGTTAGGAAAGATCCTTAAACTGGGAACAGGAGCTGGTTGTTGAGCCTCCAACTGGCGTTTATCTGGCATCTCACAGAACAGCGAAAGATGCAGAAAGACGTAATGACAGACACGACTATTCCAGAGAAAGAGAATTGAAAAGGGCACAAACGCCAATTATTTTCAGCAGCTTATCCAAGTTAATGCTAAGAAGAAAAATAAATGTTTTGCTAGTGACTCGCACAGACAAGTAAACGGATCATAAGCCATAAGCATATCCTTGTCTAGGTGATGCGAACTGCAACGAGATATCGTAAAAAGGAAAATCGACTGGAGTGATGGTGATCATTCCTAGCTAGCTAGGAATGTGGCCTTGATCAAAATACAAATTTCAACAAAAACTTACTCCGGTGGCAGCGCTTCTGCGTTCGTCGGATCGAACCCAATCGGTATCTCGACCTGGCTCTTCTGCCTTGTCTGCCGTGTCAAAAGGTCGTGGCAACTTTGAATTTAACTCGGCCCATTTCGCCGACGCTAGGTTGGCGCGGGGCAAAAATGCAGTCTGGGGAATGCCTCTGTCGAGAAGGGGGGCAATGCGTTTCCCCTCCAAGATCCATGCGTCATCGGTCTCTTTACCATAGATGCTTAAAAGATATTGGTAACTGAAAAGAATATAAAACAAACGATTCGCAAATTGTGGCCAACTCTTCGTCGTTTAGGGCCCGGCGGACCTCGGCCTTATGCCTGTCTGAGGCGATGCTTAAAAGACGTTGAAGATCCTGGAGAGTCTTCCGCTTTTCACCGGTTAACGGGCCCTGAGCTCGGAATACAGTGACAATTTTTGCGTAGGCTTCCAGTTCAAGTCGCCTTAGGATTCGCTGGCAATCGATTTTGGTATAGTCAAGTAATGTGGGCCATGTAATTGTACTTCGTTTCGGTGACGAGAAATTTTCAACCATCTCAGGAGAGAGATATCAAGATACACTGACAATTACCATAAAACAAAAAAATATACACACGTCAAAATAATAACTCCTTGATATCTGATTGCAGTACTAATTTCCGTAAAAATACAGAAAATGCAGTTCGTATATTTTCGTTTCCAGCGCTTCTACCGTGTTTTAAAACGCCCACTAACAGTTAGGTATGTGCATGTTCAATTTTCGGAATTCAGTTTCAGATCTAAGCAATATTATAGGAAAAACACAGCATCATCCATAATAGGCAAAGTTTTCGTTTTTCGGAATTTCGGGATACTTAATGTGGCCATTCCCAGAAGGATAGTCAGGGTGGTCCAACCAGGGCAATGCAGAGCGAATGACTTCCGAACTTGACGAGAATCCGTAATTCCTGACTTGCCTTCATATTTAACTGAGTATACACACAAAACTGAAGAAGCAAGGCAAATTTATGCATCAGATTTCGGCTGCTCAAATACCTACTACTGGTGTCAAATGCCGAAACTTCGTAAATTCAGTCGAGATTCGTATAATAACCATGGATTTTTTCTGACGCCAACCGTCCAGCACATGTTAGAGCTCTCCGACAACATGTAACTACTGATTTAGTGCTTGACTGCCTTGTCTGGCGATGAGTCCACTTCAAAACGACTTCCTAATCACTGGCTGCACTCTCACTGTTGTTCGAGTTACTTGGAAAGAGTCACCCAAACTACAGATTGCTATTTTGTTTTTATTTGACACACCGAAAGTTGTTCAGTTAAAAGTTAGGATTAGTGAAGAAGTCTAGAAGTGGGATACATGAACCTACGAGGTCAAACTTTGACACGCAGATTTCAGAAGTTTATGGTGACTGCAGAGGGAGGAGGAATAACAATGAATGGAAGTAGGTTGATATAGTACTGTTTCCGGCTCTTCCGTCGTTGTTCAGCATATCACAATCCTAGCAAACATTTGGAGCCAGAAGCCAAATGTTCGTCAATATACGGCGCAGCTAGGCCACAGACAGAACCTGGCATATCGGTTGTAAGCATCCTATCGAAATGAAGTTCATCACTGCGTCGCCATTTTTCATTATCTGTCACTGCATAAATGGCTTTTATTCAATCGAGTAAATGTACGCTTTGATTTGTCGGCCTCCGAAGCAGACAAACTCCATGTGTGCGGCAAAGATCACGAACAGGCGACCAACTATCAGGGCGGAGTTGACAAAGTTATGAAATCAGAGGGAGGGGGAGAGCAGTGAACGCGGCTACATCAGTACAGCACATTTCTGGCTTATCCTATCTTAATTCAGTCAGTCATAACCCTGACCACCATCTGGAACCAGAAACACCTACGTGTGCCCGCACACGGCGCAGATGGTTCACAGACGCGATCTACATGATCGGTCTTAAGTCAACCATGCAGAGCTTGTTTGTTTTGAGAAGCCCAAGAATCGGCGCGCACCCATAGCGGATTGGGTATAGTAACATTTTGAAAAGGACTACAGACATATTAAGTCAGTTCACCCAGGTTATGCAAGGATGAGTAGTAAAAATCTAGGAAAGAAAATGTTATCGTCGGAGCAGCATGCAAATAAAAGCATGTCTGTTAGCACCGCCGGGGATAATGGAGCACTGCAACGAACCCCGTGTAAAGTTGGGCAAAATAAAGGCGAAATAAAAACCGTTTACGACTGAACAAAGTAGATCGTCGAAATCAGAACTGGAAAAACATAAACGAATACTATTAAAGGTGCCTTAAGGAATAAATAAGTTGTTTCATTAAGTACGCTTATGGTTATTGTCGTAATAAGAATAAAATATCAAGTGGATTGTAGAACAGGAAGCATGCAATGCACAGCGTTCAGTTTGTTCTCATTAAGTAGTTAGTGTAATGCGAAAATCGATCACCGAACAGTAAAAGAGCTACTTTTTTCGAGAAAAAAATGAATGTGATTTGTCTAAATTTTAAGAAAAAAAACCGTCGCTCATGGAAAGGTAAATATGCGGGTCAGACAGGAGGGTCCTGCATGCGGTAGCGTATAAGAATCCGAAACGGATATCGTCAAGGTGAACTTCCAAATCGGGTGGGGCTATTCGCTGCCGATGCGATCATGATAGTTTGCTCTGACAACACAAGCGATTGCCAAGGTGGTGAGACGAAAGGAGCCACAACGCGATTTACCAGGGTCTGCTTAGATTCTACCTTCCTAAGCCTTCCTCTCAATGCGTTAGGGCGGCCAAAAGGGCAACCAGTGTTCTGTTTGCCATTAAACGAACTTTCGTAGACATAGACAAAGAGTTATTTGGAAAAGCATACGGCGCGTTCATTCGTTCGCATCTGGAATATGGAATCCAAGCGTGGCGCACGTGGCTAAAAAAGACTATAAGTTGCTAGAAAGAGTTCAGAGGAGAGCGACAAAAATTGTGAAATTCCTCAGAACTTTACCTTACAACTGCCGACTTAATGAACTTAAACTCTTTCCTCTTGAGTACAGGCAGATTCGAGGAGATCTCATACAGGCGTATCGGATACTGAGGAACCAGGGCTTTGCCCTAAACCTCGATGGTTTCTTCACCCTGGCCACAACAACAAACCTGCGTGGGAACTCTGTAAAACTTAGAGGAGTCCGATGCCGCCTGGACGTTCGCAGATACTGTTTTTCACAGCGAGTCGTCGGTGCCTGGAACGGGCTTCCCGAGGACGTAATAATGGCGGATACCACGGAGACGTTCAAGCAAAGACTAGATGTATATTTGCTTGGACAATACCGCTTGTCTGTACAGAACAGCTCTGCGGTGCCAAACCAACGCCTTGCATACACCTACCGCCCATGCGGATGACTGTCATTTCATTTTGCCGATATCCTCTACAACTGAATGTTCTTGAGTTTCGGTCCTGCATTTTCAATGAAAAATATTCTGTTCAGTGTATATGCTAATGACAACATTTTAGTCCCATGTTTGGCTAAAGTTAGATATTGCATGTACCGTTTACAATAGGATATTTAAAGGCACTGCCTATTACCCTTAAAATATACTGACCTATACTGACCTACACTTAGGGGGCACATGAGAGTCTTCGGCGGTCATCAAAGTCCTGGGGATGCCACTGGGACATTTTTTGTTGACCGACCAATTTACTAGCAAATGACGAAAAGAGAAAAAGCTGCCGTCAGCGTTAACAGATCGCTTAAGGTCGAAAAAGGGGATGACATCAAAAATCGCGAAAATGATCGCTAAAGGACAGGAGTAGTTACAGTGGATTTCGTAGCCAAGTAAAAACATGCGGTTGTGCAAATTAGAAAAGGGCTTCTACTTGAAAAGCAAAACATGTATTGTCTACGTTTAAATTCCAGGTGGACCCTATTTATAATCCAGAATTCGAGTGTTCGAGAAGGAGGCATTCAAAAACGGCCTAATGCCTTTCGGTGTTAGGGGCCTGAGTAATTTTCATTTGAAAGCCGATCATTTGAGAGGTGACCAAAGTTCTAACGAAAGACTACTCCAAAGGAAGTTATATTTGGGTGCATTTAGATGTAGAGAATAGAGGCGGTGAAATCACCATGAGCCACTATCGCCTGGCATAAAGACGATTTCAGTGGCAGTAACAATATCAATGCTCGGAAGATTAGAGTTAGTGTAAATGCGAAGACCAGCTCAGAGTCGTAGTCCAATGGACATCTGTCGTTCAATGAAATGTCGGACAAGGCTTGTGAAAACAGTCTCCAGGTGAAAATCCTCCGAACGTTTTCGATTTAATTAAGGTCACAGGCGTTCATTAAACCAAAGAAATGGCATCAGTACTTGAGAACGGGAAGAACAAACACTTGAGAAGTCTAAGTTTCATTTCTGGGAGAAAAAAGTATGCGATATGAATCCACATATCTGCGCGCCGTTGGCAGAGATTCTATCTGCATGAGGTGATAAAGCACGTTTGTTTGTATAACTTGAACCTAGGCCCTTTATAGTGAAGCATTCTGAGAGTGAGTTATTCTGAAAAATTACGGCACCAGGAAGTTTGGCAGCACCAAAAGACATGAAACTACATTTGGATGAGGAAAACTCCATCTGCCCTGTTGAACCCCATCTGCTTAAGCGTTGTAAACCGGCATTAATTTTTTGCAACACAAATATTTGCGGTGTCCAAAGAATATGAGTAAGCACACTTGAAGTCATCGGCTTAAATAAAAGTTTGCGAATTTCTAAATTCAGTCAAAATGTCATCGATGTGAAGAAGGAAGAGTAGCGCACCCAGAACCGTGCCTTGATGTACGCCACTCGTGAAAGAGTGAGGTGTCGAGTAGCTATTACCGACCATGACTTTCTGATATCGGTTAGATAGATAGGACCTGATGATGTCGAGTTGAGGCGGCCGGATGCCGAGAGCTTCCAATTTTACCAAAAGACCTCCATGGGACACCTTGTCGAAGGTTTTGCTAAGATCAAAGTAGATAACTACCACTGACTGCTGTTCATTACGAAGAGAAGTGATTAGATAGAGAAATGTCAAGTGGCAAGTTTCGCAGGATCGTTCAGGTAAAAATTCGTGATAATTAGGGCTCAAAAGCCGATTGGCTAAACAGGGGTCAAGAATTTCATTAAAAATTATCCAGTCAAGAGGTTACGCTAGGGACCGTGTTTTGTGCACGCCCCAATAGTTATTAACATCGGACCGAGATCCAGATTTGAAGACAGGAATGATAATTGATGTCTTATACGTTTCAGGGAAGAATCCTCTTGAAATATAGACCGAGAATAAATGACTAAGCAATATGGGAAGGTCGGACGCTTGTTTAATAATCGAATTTGGCATCCCGTCCGTTCCTGGGCAGTGTTAGATTTTCAAACGACTTATGCGTTTCTTAATGAGATCTGAGGAAACATCGATTTTACTCAGTGTCTTATCTGAAAGTGAACGAAGGAAAGGAACTGGTTCGGACTCAGTATTAAGGTGTTTCGCGAAGTAAGCACTAAACAACTTCACCGTCATCGATAAGGAAGATTTTGTTATCGTTAAGCAGGGGTGGAAGTTCGTGACCACGCTTCAAGGAG